ACTTGGCGTATTGTTAGCTGCGGTACGCCACGTCGAGCCGGTCGAAAAGCTCAGCGGTCTGGTTGGAGAGGAGAGGAGCCCACTCCACGTAAGCTGCCGAGGAACCTGCCCAGGAAGCAGGGGCGCTAACGACCGCATGAGTTGACCATCTTGCCGGTAAACTAAAAGGTCGCTGAGGGAAGACTTGCAGAGGGAATCAAAACAAGTCGGAACTGGCACGACAGCCGCGCCGCTAGAGCCAGGACGACGAGAGAGAAGGACAAGGACGCAAGGACGAGGAGGTGGGGGCAAGGCGGACGAGTAGGAGGCGGCGGGGGAAGCAGCAACAGGAGGGCACCCTGCGGCGGGTGCGTTACTTCACTTTCTTCACCTCGCTCGCTTCACCTCCTGATCACTTTAGTCTTTTGGTGGCCAGCGCGGGAACCCCGGCCACGGCCCCACGTCAGTAGCCAAATTCGCCTCCTCATCGTCTGCTTTTTTGGGCGGTCCGAACGGGTACCAAGGCCAGGGCAGCGCAACAGCAGGCTCCTTCACGTCCTCCTGTACGTCTGGCTCTCTTTGCAGTCCGAACGGGTACGCAGGCAAGGGCAGCGCACCTGTGGCCTCCTTCACGTCCTCTTCGTCGCTTTCGGGTGTTTGCTAAGCTTCGATATTGATGGACTTCGCCTGCATTTCGCCGAACTCATGCTGAATGGACTCCAACCGCTGCTTGAAGAGCGAATGACGTTCGGCTAAGTTCTGCTTGAGCGTAACACCACCATGCGCACGCTCGGCCACTCTGACCTTCGCGGTGTTTCTGGGGAGCTGAAAAATACATCGGCGACACCCTCAGGCGGCACGACTGGCACGAAGTCGCTAGCCTTCGGTTTGAAGTCAGACCAAACACCCGGTGCGCAGGACGGCCCCACGCCCACGGGGGACGCGCACGCCCTGGACCCAACCATTCCCCAAGCAGTGCATCGCAATACTCCTTGGTGATGCGACGGGGATGCGGCGTAGGCGAGGTTGATCTTGTGCTCACCCTACTGACGATGCTCTTGGATACCTTGCGGCTGCACTCCTTGAGACCGCGCTGGATGGCCGTCACCGGCAAGCCCGCGCAAAGAGCAAGGAGCCGAAAGGTGGGCGGAGGAGAAATCAGCCAGGAGCTGCAGCGGGGCATGCATGGCCAGCGGCTGAACATCAATCGGCTTGCGACACGCACGGGCAGAGGCAAGAAACCTCAGCAAACATACGAAAACGCACGAAACCCGTCGGGAGATGTTCGAAAACCCGAAAACCGGAGGAGGAGGGAAAAGGAGTTCTGTCCCACAACAAGTGATCCTCCAGGAAACATCGGGAGGGAGGAGGAAAGAGGAATGAGAAGGAGGAGGAGGAGGAGGAGAAGGAGGAGGAGAAGGAGGAGCAGGAGGAGGAAGAGGAGAAGGAGAAGAGAGGAGGAGGAGGAGGAGGAGGAGGAGGAGGAGGAGGAGAGGAGGAGAGGAGGAGGAGGGAGGAGGAGGAGGAGGACGAGGCGAGGAGGAGGAGCGAGCCAGGAGGAAAAGGCCTGATGCACTGGTGCACGGGCGCGCGTGGGCGGGGCAGGAACTCAGGCGTTCATGGGTACGAGCGCGAGCTCGGACGACGAGAGGTGAGCCTTCGGCAGCCGCTCGCAGCGACCGGGAGTCGCGGCCAAAGCAGTGGGAAGGGGTCGGGGCTAGGGGGTTAGGGCGTACGAGCGGCTGGGGGTCAGCGGGTCAGGGGGTCAGGGTGTACGAGGTGGGGGGTGTGGGTGGCGGAACGTGGCACGGGGGCAGGGGGGCAAGACGGGACGGGGACGAGAAGGGGAAGGCAGGGAGAGGGAGAGAGAGAGAGAGAGAGAGAATGAAGAGTGGCAAGGGGAGAGAGGGAGAGAGAAGGAGGAGGAGGGGGAGGAGCAGGAGGAGGAGGACGCGGAGGAGGAGGCGGAGGAGGAGGAGGAAGAGGCGGAGAGCCAGAATGAACCAAGGATGCATCAGGGATGCGCCAATACACCCTACCGTCCCAAGTCCCCTACCCTCCGCCCCAGTCCCTTCAAGCAGTCCTTTCCACAACAGGATGCGCCCCCTTGAAAGACGAGCGACCCACAGGCCTTCCACTCATGCGAGGGTCCCATCTTGAAACGGATCCGCCATCCATACCTGCAGCTATAAGAAATCCACTGTGGCAGGAAAATCCGAATCGAGGACGTATCCAGCGGCAGCCCTGCACTGAAAGTGAGCATCCCTCCACTCGTGCAACGGATTCAAAAACTTGCAACTCGTAGTCAGGAAACCTAGCGAGGGCTCATGCGATGGCCCGTGATTGAAATGACTAGCCCTCCGTCCGTGTAAAGAATGAACAGTTCTAAACCTCTGGCCATGCAAACTGAAGAAGTGTCAAGCGAGAGCCCCGTGCTGAAAAGAAATAGCCCTTCATCTATGTAACTGCTGTAGCACGCTCTACACACACTTAACATTCGGGAACGTTTGAAGCAAATGTGCGCGGCTCTACATCGAGAGTCATGCTTTGAAAATGGCCTGTCTTCCATCCATGGCACTGTTCGGGGACACCAAAAGACAAACGTGGACGGCGCTAGGGCGAGTCACCATTTGGAAATGGACCGCCCTCTATCCACGTGCGCTGCAAGCTTTGAAGCCGATTGCGCACAGCCAAATAGACCCAAGGCGAGAACCAAATGTGTCGGAAAAAACTCATGTTATCCAACCGTTTCACTGCTGGAGGTTTCACACTCCAGGATCACGAATGATGAGGAAGTTTCAGGCGAAACGCTGGACATCCCATACCCACACGCCTGGCGGTGCGACGAGGAAGAGGTACTCACCAGAAAGCGGGACATAGAAGGAGGTAAGGCACGGGGGATGGGGAGGGAGGCAAGGCGGAGGACTGAAGAGCCACCAATGACACGCCAACGCTTAAACCGATGAGAAACATCACAACATCACGGTTCGCGATCTCTCGTCCTTCTCCTCCTCTTCCCATCGCTGGCCAGAGCGGAGGCGCTCCTCCGACTCTTCTCCTCCTTTGCCTCCTCCTCCTCTTCCTCCTCCTCACCATCATCTACCAGTCGCCAAGTTGTTGTGCTCACGCAGACGGCGCAATCGAGAGCACAGACTTCAGGGATGAGCTGCGGATGCGGGCAGTGGAATTCACAGATGCTGCATGTATGTCTGAATGCCTGGTGTGCCGACGATACATGTGCACGTGTTTCTCATCACACGCGTCGCTGATTGTTCGCACGGCAAGGGAAGGACAAACATGCTGCGCCCCTTGGGCACATGACACGATCACGAACATCCATACGTCAATGCATGTAGTCCAGTACGGCACAACACAGTGCAGCATAACACAGCAGTGCATGGCAATTTAGAGCGCGAATGGAACTTGTTCGCACAACCTTGAAGCTTAAGTCTGCAGTATACGCTACAACACTTTACTTCATTCAACCCTGCCTGGCATGATAGCCCATTGCTCGACATAATGCCCAGCACTGGAAACATACTTGCACAAAACTCCGTTGCGCTCGCAGCTACTAGTCCAATGACGCCTCACGCAAGGCATGCACCACAATAACCACGTCTACCAGTCCAACTGCCCTTTGACACCAGAGCCAGCCCGAACGTGAAGCAGATGCGAGTTGCCCTGGGCCTTTTTAACCTAGGAGGCTCGTCGTCAGCGCAGGGCTGCTCGAGTCCCGCGCGACGAGGACGAAGCTCGGAAAGATCGGGAGCGCCACGGCCGAGATACAAAGCCTCTGAACAGGCGGCGTCTAACTTTATCCCCAGATCTGCTCCGATCTGCACCCTCAGAGCCCTGGCGCTGGCTCCAGACGCGGCTCGTCGGTGCCATCGGTGGGGGCCCCGAGGCCAAAGCTGGGCCTCCGAAGGGTGGTCCTGACTCTTGCAAGCAGGAGGTGGGGGAGGAGGAGGAGGACGACAGGCGACGACAGACGACGCACGTCGACAGACGACAACGACGACGACGACGACGACGACGACGACGACGACGACGACGACGACGACGACGGCGACGATGACGGCGACGACGACGGCGACGACGACGGCGAGACCGACGACGACGACGACCGACGACCGACGACCGACAGACTACAGACGACAGACGACAGGCGAGGGGGAGGGGAAAATGTCAGTATATGTTGTCCCCTGGCAGCAGGAGCCGGGGGCGCAGCGATCGCCCTGCCCAGGGCCCGGAGAGGTCCCAGCGAGCGGGCAAGCAACAGGCCGCTGCTCCGACCACCGGTCCCGTCATCCCCTCCATTCTCGAGCAGACGGACCAGCCTGAGGCACCGGCTGGCCTGAACAGGCCCCCCGAGGTGGCCCGAGGCGGTCAGCCATTACCCATCCGTCCCTGGGAGGGGGAGGGGCAGGGGGAGGAGAGGGAGGGAGACAGGGAGGCAAACAGGAAGGGAGACAGGGGGTGGACGGGGAAGGAGGAGGGAAGGGGAAGGGGGGGAAGGGGAAGGGGAAGGGAATGGGGGGGAAAGGGAAAGGGCAAGGGAAGGGGGAAGGGGGAGAGGGCAAAAGCACAGCGGGAGCGCACAGGGGCGGCGCGCGCTGAGACCACCTTGGGCTGCTCTGGGGGCCAGCCAGGACCACCCCGCGAAGCTGTCTGTGCAAGCAATTACGGTCGCCAAGCGAGGGGCGACGGAAGAGCAAGGAGGATGGGACGAGGACGAGGAGGAGGAGGAGGAGGAGGAGGAGGAGGAGGGATAGGAAAAGGAAAAGGAGGAGGAGGAGGAGCACCAGCAGCGGGAGGAGGCGCGCAGGCGAGGAACGACTCGGAGAGAGCGGCAGGTGAGGGCGCGCACTCCCCTTGTCATGAGGGTGTGGGCGAGACCCGCCTACTGTGCAGCAGTGGAAGTTGGGAAAGAGACGAGAGGTCGGTAGCGGAAGCAGCACGGATGGCCTGGAAACTCGACGGGTGCTTGAACTTCACGACGATGTCGTATGGCCGGTCGCCACCTTGCACGGAATGATTGCCAACCACGCTCGGTCCCGCAGACAAAGCAACAGTCCAGTCCTCAGCCCTGTCTGAAGTCTGTCTTGGGCCTCCCTGACTGGCGTCGAGGGGGGCCTCTGAGGAGGTGCCGCTCTGGGGCTTCCTTCGAGCTTTGCACGGCCGACCTGGGGCCCCCCGAGGCGCCCCCGAGGCCATCCGAAGGAGAAAAGCCAGAGAGATGCTCTGCCGCGGCGCCGGCGGACGCTCCGCGCGGTCGTGGCGGCAGGCCCGGGCGCGGAAGCGCTCCCCGAGCACGGGAGGCGCGAGAGCAGGAGGCGGCGGCCGCAGGGGGGGGGAACGGCGCAGGCGGAGCGCGCGCCCAGAGCATGGCGGGTTCGCGTCCCAAGAGGGCCCCCAGAAGGCCCGAGAGGGCCCGAGAGGGCCCACGAGCGCCCCAGGACGGCCCACGATGGCCTCAAGACGGCCTCGGGAGCCTCGAAGGCGCCCCAGGAGAGCTACAAGTTCACCACCCGCGGCGGCCCCAAGAGGCCGCAGTCCCGAGCAAAGTATAACGAGGTCGCGCTCCAAAGGCCGCGAACCCCGCACCTCTCTCAAGGGCAGGAGAGCTTACATCTTCTGCTCTGGGATGTGTGTTCGGGATTCGGCTCTGGACCCGAGGGCACAGATGCTCGAACATAGTCGGGGGTGCGCGCTCCCGAAGTCGCAAATCCCCACAGATTCCACCGGAAGAGCGATGCCGAGGCCGCCGTCCCTCGCTTATTGATGCAGACGCGCGCGCCCAGCCAGCCAGCAGACAGTCCAAACCAACTGCCAGCTATCAATTTAGACACCGAGCCAATCAGCCGAGTTGCCAGCCAGCCAGCCAACAAGAAAACCAACCGACTTACCGATCGAGCGTGGCCACGCAGGCAATAGAGGGGGAACTGGCGGCAGAGGGCAGACGCCCTTCAGATCCAACCGCTCCCGCCTGCGGGCTGGGCCGTGCTAGGCCTCTCTGTCAGAGTGGTTGGCACAGGTGTTGGACCGCACTCACTGGAGCTTGGCCAGAACCTTCCGGAAAGTCCCTCCGAAGGGGCCCCACTCTGCCCGCGGTCCCTCGCGGACCCCAGTCTTGTGCAAAGGCCTCCTGCGGCCTCGGGCAGCCCCGACACGACCCAAGAGGGCCCCAAGACGAGCCCAGAGAGCCCCAGAGAGCCCCAGAGGGCCCGAGTTTGCCCACGCGCGCCCCAAGACAACCCACGATGGCCTCCAGACGGCCTCAGGAGCCCAAAAGACGCCCCAGGAGCTACAAGCTCACCTACTGCAAGGGGCCCCAAGAAACAAAAAACAATGATTTTCATTTGGATAACAATGATTTTGGCGCCAACACGTCAAAACAGCCCTGGAGGGTTCCGAAATCGCCCCCCGATGGCCCAAGAAGCCACCATGAAGGGTCAAAAACTGCCCAAGAGAGCCTCAAGACGGCCCAGGGGGGCGCCACGAGGGTCCAAGTGGGCCCCAAGAGAAGCCGAAACGGAGCCCAAGAGGCGAAAGCGAAGGGGCTTTGAGAACTTGTCCCAGAAACATTGCCGCCGAGAGACCATCAACATGCCCCCACGGGGCCAGTAACACATCCCCAACAAGCCTCCAAGACGCCCCATGAGGCCCAATGTCAAGAGGACCCCGGCAGGCCTCCCATGAGGCCCCCGAGACGCCCCAAATGGCATCTCCTGAAGCCACCAAAATGTCAACTGACCTCCTGAGGACTGAACACCCAAGACACCGGCCCCCAAACAAACCGGCTCCCCGCCCACACGAATAACGGCCTCAGCAGGCCCCGGGGCACCGGTCGACAGGCACCCAGGACGCCCCGAGCACGAAACAGTCGCCAAGCAACTCTTCGCCCACACGTGCGTCACACCCCTAGGGAGCGGCCAATGATGCGCCGCCAGCGTCCTCGATTCGATCTAGTGAAAAGTAAGGGTTGAGGGTATTACCATGAGGTAACAAGCAAGGAGCCCTACTCTTGAGATAACGTCGGCGACGTAGCGAGGTATCCCGCATCTCATCCCTCGATGGCAAGCGAATCGAAAGGTAAGAGATAAGCCACGAGATGAAGAGAGGAGTCAATGATAGACGTGGCCTTTGTCTGATACAATAATCCAATAGTCCCACTGTCGTGTGACAAGCAAATAGGGCTGCGCAACCTTGAGCCAAGATTGCGGCGGATATAGCAATCGCTATACAGCCCCACCTTAAACTTCGCTTAAAGTCGGGGGTGGAGGGGCCGAACGCTAGATCCAAGCCCTGAGTTGGTTATATCAAGTAATGAAGAAGATAATGATATCGTTTGTTCAACATCCCGAACAGCACACAGTCGATGCGCCAAAAGGACAGCATAGAGCATCAGGGCTGGTCGCGGGCATCACCGCACGACCAGCCGCAGAATATGAAAGGCAGTCGCGGGCGAGCCCGCGTGACTACCCACAGATAATTAGGGGTGGACGTCTGGCCAATAGCCAAATGTCAAAGCGGGTACCTGACCAAACAATCAGGCCCCCTCACAAAGAAAGATAAGGGCCCGTGACGGGGCGGGCATATGAACTGTAGGTGCATCTTCCCGTGACTGGGCAGTGGTGACTACATGTCTGTATTGGAATAGTCATCCTCAGAGCTATCCGCTAGCCCCGAGTAGTGCACCCTCACCTCGGCGCTGTCTCTTTGCTGCCTCGATTGGGCATGTATTTCTTTACCTCATACTCGAAGGACTGATTGCCTGCCAAAATTTGCAGCAGCAAGACCCGATCGACACACCCATTGATATGACGATCTGCGGTCACGTCCCGCGCACCATACCACTGCGCGCCATGAACGACACCCCGGCCCATGATTTGTCTCATCCACCCAGCCGGCTTCTTCAAGCCCTTACTTGACAAGAACTCAAAAGACCGACTCAACGTCTATGGCAGGAATGGCCTTAATGCCGAGACCACCAAACTCTAAAATATCCCTCAGCTGCGCGGGCGCTAGGGCTCCAACTAAAAGCTCGCGCAGCGTAACTATGGTAGGGTAGCAGTCAACGAGCTCATGGGCTGCTGCCAGCGTTTCAGGTGAGAAGCTGGAACGCACCTGCAAGCGATGCGACTTGCAGCGCGCAACGATCAGATATACTACTGCCTCGCCGTTAGGCGCGCGTCCGCGCAGTAAAAGGTCGGCCCCTCGGATGCCACACCACTTCACTTTGTCAACTTCGCCCCCGTTCTAGCGACAATTTTGGGGGTCGCTGTGAAGGTCCACCGCTCATGTCGGAGCCATAAGCATTATATACGTCGGACCTGGGTGGAGTTTGCGCGAGACAACGTTAGGTCCGCACATTTGAAGGCCCGCGGCTTCCTGCACTCGTTCCATGGACACCACGCATATCATCAACCACACCTGGGCGGCTTATGCACACGCCAAGGTGGCACGTAAACTGATGAACATGTCGGGCGCTGTCTTCGCTACCTGTTCTTCGGCCACAGCGCCCGTGAGTTCCAGGCGCTGCATGGGGCGAAGCTGTTTTATGTATCCATCCTGATCTAGCTGGACGCGGCCGCCCTCGCTCTCAGCGTAGCGCACGGCGCAGTTGGCATGTCAGCGGTCGTTCAGTTTGCATGCGCCAAACGTGCTTTCCATACGCATGACAGGTTTGTCGATAGCGTCCTCCACTCCTGCCGCGTTTACGTCATCAACGTGCTTGGCCGTCAGGAGGCTTGGTCTTGCCTCAAGTTCGGCATCGCACGAAGCGGGTTGTAGCCCAAAGCCTCGCGTGCTAGTCCTGAGCTTCAGTGAGAATGCCCGAAGGGCACCTTTGGTGCCTGTGCCTGATTTAAGGCACTGTGGACAGCGCAACGATTCGTCATAGGACGAGAAGCCGGGCAGCGCGTGCAACACCGGGGCTGAGCCAGGCGAAGAGCAAAGCAGACCACACGCTCTTTCTCCCAGCGGCCTCTGCCAGCTCACAATAGATCAAGCCTTTCAAGGAAGCCTTATCGATATTCATGGATACCTTGACCCATTGTCTCCTGCACGCGGCCGCGCTGACAAGCAGTCTCTGACTTACTCGACGACCTGCACCTGAAAAGGTTACCACGTCGAATGCTTCGACGTCCAGAATGCCACGAAGAACGAGACGTAATCGCATGGTTGGTTCCATCTCGCTGGGGTCGATCTCGACAAGAACTCCACTTGAAAACGTATCTAAATGTCAAGATGTTGGTAGCATGTCTGGTCAACTGCATGTCATGGCATGTGCTGTCGCACCGCATATTGAATTCTGCGCGCAAGGCTCTGGATGCGTCGTACTCATAGTATACCAAGGCAGAGCCATCAGCAAATGGCGCAACTGGTGACCCGCGGATGCTTTTAGCCAAACGCACCGCCACTACGTTTTCTATCCTACAAGAACTTCCAAAAAAGGAAATGAAAGACTAAATTTACTTTGCAAGTTCCCCTGCCCAGTCGTCAGGCAGCCGAAGACCGCGGCAGGATCCCCCGCGGGCAGGCTCGCGTTAAAGGCCAACACTGCTCGCATGGCCGAACTATCAGAACCGATCTCGCGGACCATTAGCACATCAACAAATAATGCGCGTCGCACGTCTGGGCGCCGCGCAAAGCCGTGCCGACCGCCAACTTGCACAACCGCCTGACCACTGCCAGAGTAGTTACGGGCGATGGGGCATGGGCCATTCCATCCACCCCAGTTGTCCTTAGTAGTGGTCGGACGGTGGTTGTCCACGAGATCACCTGGCAGATAGTTGCGGTGTCCTGCTTCTGCCGATTTCGGGCGCATGGCTCTGTTGGTTTTGGCACCTGCTGCGGCCTGTGCATTGGAATCAATGATTATTTATCTGATCCTCTGTTCCCGATTGTGATCGGACGTGTCCGCCCCCCGTCGGTGGCCCAGCTGGTAGGTCTGGCAAACAGGCCGGCCGTCGAGCACGCAGTGCATTGCATGGCGACACCCCGTTGGAGAATGCAAATG